TGTCTTCTAGGTATTTAATATAGCAACAGACACTGCCACCGAACACTGCCAAATCAAATGCCATCCCATCTCTGAGCTTGGGTTTCCCTGCGTAATACGAAGAAACACTTGGCTTGAGTCAGTGATTAGACAGTGCACCGGCACTGACACGAAGTTGCACTCACTTCTTACACCCAAATCCTCTTTGCTAACCATGATGCCTCCTACAGAGGTGCAGGATTCGGCAGGCACAAGTTCCAACAGTAGAAGTGAGACAATTTACAATTAATAACTGAAAATCTGCCATCGTATAACATCCCTGTTCTTTCACCCTGACCCTCCCCTTACCAAGACGGATCAAGTATTGACATCAATTAGTACTCAGTCCTTGGTACGCTGCTTGCTTCAGGGTTATTCATATGTTTCTTCTGCGACGTTATGCTGTCCTGAAATGCTATGTTGTTCTGGTGAGCTGACTTGCAGTTGTTTCAGTCAATCCAGTTCCCTGTTAGGTACTCAGCACAATTTTAACCTTGCAAAGACCAACACTCATTGTCCCGCACTGCCGCCCAGTGCCACAGAGCTTTCTTTGCTGTCAGCAGCATCCTGCGGGTCTCAGGAAGGCAGGCAATGATCCTGGGAGCTGCTCGAAGGATGCTGGCGCTGGTGTCCGCTGGGAGCTGTGCTGCCTCCAACAAGACGCTGCCCACACAGGCATGCAGCCCAGGAGCAGCAACAGCAGGTCCACGCTGGAGCTACCAATTAATCCCTCTTCTTGAGATACAGTAAATAAATCAGCTTCAGAATTCAAAAGCAGACACTGAATATTCATTTGCCATCTTCTAAAAACTGCTGTGAAGTCAATGAGTAGATCAAGCTCATGCACCATCACTGGTGTGCCATTTGGGAAGCATCGTCCTCAAAAAAAGACCCCAAAACACCGAGGTATTTTAAATATGCATAATATGCCAACTTTGGCAAACTAAGGGAGGAATAAAATTCACCAGTGGGTAAAAAGGTTAACGAGTTTCTCCTTCCTTCCCTTTAAAACTTCTCTCCTCCTTTAAAACTCCCCTCCTCCTTCAGCCTTCTTTCAGCTTGCACAACGCACTCCTCCAGCCTCCTTTGCCATGCAGAAAACCCAGCCTAGGAGCCTGCCTCTTGTACCTCTGGTATCTACTCTGACGAGTCACTAATGATGCATCTCATCCAAGGTATTAAACAGCAAATACACTCTGCAAATTGTGTGAAACCCTTTAGTGAATATGGGTAAAAAATTAAAGCCTCCCGTGCCTCCAGATTTTTTGTGGCTGTATTTTTTTTTTAATTATATTATTATTATTTTGCTTTGCAAAACAAGGAAACCAATATGCAAATTCTCCTATGCTCCTATGCTTCCTGACCCAGCTCTGCTGGAAACCCACAAAAGCGCTGGCTTTCAGATTTTAAAGGGAGATGAAAGAGAAGGTGAAGGAGGAAACAAGGGAGGAGGCACCACTCAGGGGCGCTCTTCACTTCAGGGCTACACGAGATACTAAAATATCAATTTTTTAGCAATTATTAAGGTCATCTAATCTCAAGATTGCAGACTTGTTTTTGGCACATCAGATGCTTGTGAATCTTGCCGGAAGCGCTGCGATGCCCATTGGGGTATTAAATATTTATCTCTGCAAGCTTTTAAAATACAGATTTTTACTGTGCCAGAAGAAAGGGGTTTTTTACAAGTATTTCAATATTAAATTGAGTAACAGAATACTAGGAGAAACATTTTCTAAATCATCCTGAGAGGTGAAGAACTAAATGTATACACTAAGTATATTGTTTCCTCATTATTCTTCGTCTTTCAACCACATCTGCAATTTGTTAGCTGCTTTCCGAACACAAAGATAAATATAGTCCTTGCACTGAACTAAGTATATCTTAAGAAGGCAAAAAACTGGTGAAAGACAATCAGTTCAAGTTGACAGCAGGTGAATCTCTTATTAGTAAATATGGTGAACTGTTTTGGTATTTCTTTCCTGGTCATTTTTATACTATGTTTAAAATTCTCCCGTGGTGGTATTCACTGTCTTTCCCTTCCCAGCCCGCTGTCATGACAGTAGAGCAAGCTGAATGGGACACCTGTCCATCCCGCGTATTCACCTCTGTGTGAAGTGCTTGGCTTCCTTCCGCGCTTCCCGTCCTTCTCTGTGCTTCCAAGCCAGGTAGACGTGAGAAACCCAGTTGGCTTCTGGCACCTGGCAAGTTTTTGTTTGTGTGATTTACAGAAGTCCTTACCATAACCCAAATAAAATGCTTCAGAACAGCTTCATCAAAACAAACCTACTTCCCAAAGACTCATTACAAACAAAAAAACCTCTCAATTAAACCCAGAAAGCCTTAACACCCCACCCACAAAGCAACACAATGCCTAGGTACCTAAGGATACACAGACAAGAAACATTCTTTTGCTCAAAATACACTTAAAGACCAAAAACCTTCTTCTTCTTGGTTGGCTCTAACTGAATACACATGCTGGCATGACTCGGAAGTGATGGCAGCCCTTTATGCAGATTTCAGCACTAGAAAACATGAGGACTCGGAAAAACATGTGATACATACCACGGTTCGTTTATCATCAGTATAATAGATAATAAAAGTATATATACACACACCGGGGGGGGTGGGGGGGTGGAAGTGTGTGCATGCATGCATCCCTCTCTCTCTGTGTATTGCAAGCAATTGTAGATCTCTCTCATAAAGGATCCACTTCATGCTTTATTTTTGGTGGGGTCAAACAAACACAAAACCTAGCAGAAACAAACCACCTACTGTCTCCAATCAGGTATGACCCAATTCTTAAACCAGGGCTAGCTGAGCTAGCCATGACAGCAGAATTGCTTAGTTACGTAGCACACTAATCCAGCATCGTGGTTACCCCAGCTCCCACCAATGGTACTTACTAGCCAAGAGACAAAGTGCCTCCTTTGACCTGAAAGAGCTTTGCTGATGCACCCTCTTTTCTCCTGGAACTAGTATTTAGAGTCAAAACAAGTCAAGCTGAAAACCACTGAGTGCAGCTCTCCTTGACTTAAGAGCCTATGAGCTCAGTAAAACTGACATTCCTGGTAATGCCAGTTGGTTAAGTACCTCTACTCAAAGCTCACATATAATTATTGGCAAATCGTAATTATTGGCAAATCATAATTTCAAAGTAACCCAGATGCCAACTTTTGGCTTACAGTAGTCTACCTCATTTCTTTTCTCCCTTGCACAGTAAACAAATAACGCTTGTATCATGTTATACATTATTAGTATTAACTTACAAAATAAAATCTTACAGTTTTTTGTGCCTGGTCAGACCCTCCGCTTTATCTTAAAAATCAAAACTCTAAAAAGGATGATTTAAATAACCACACCTGAATGAGATATGAAAGAGAAGTGAAACATGATTTTCCTACCTGCTTGAATCTACTGTTCCCAGACTCTTTCCAAGAGATAGCAAAGAAAACCAGGTTTGAAGAAAACCAAAAAAAAGCTGATAAATACATCAGGATGAAAGACAGATTTAGGAATTGTATACTGTATTTGGATCACTGGGGTA